TTGTTCGCGAGTGATGGGAGAAGGGAGCCGGAGATCGACAGACGGATTGGGGCTGCAGCTGCAGTAATGCAGACGCTGCACCGGTCCATCGTGGTGATGAGGGAGCTGAGTGTAAAAGCGAAGCTCTCAATTTACCGGTCGATCTACGTCCCTACCCTCACCTATGGCCACGAGCTGTGGGTAGTGACCGAAAGAACGAGATCGCGGATACAAGCGGCAGAAATGAGCTTCCTCCGAAGGGTGGCTGGCCTCTCCCTTAGAGATCGGGTGAGAAGTTCGGCCATCCGGGAGGAGTTCAGAGTAGAGCCGCTGCTGCTCCACATCGAAAGGAGCCAGCTGAGGTGGTTCGGGCATCTGACAAGGATGCCCCCTGGGCGCCTCCTGGGTGAGGTGTTCCAGGCATGTCCCACTGGGAGGAGGCCCCGGGGCAGACCCAGGACACGCTGGAGAGATTATATCTCTCGGCTGGCCTGGGAACGCCTTGGTATTCCCCCGGATAAGCTGGAGGAGGTGGCTGGGGAGAGGGAGGTCTGGGCCTCTTTGCTTAGGCTGCTGCCCCCGCGACCCGGCCTCGGATAAAGCGGATGAAGATGGATGGATGGATGAATGATTAAATGCAGAGTGGTGTTTATCACATCATATTCATGTCATAATGCCCATAGTATGATACGAGCATTACATAATGACGTGCAAGTAAGTACTCTGTGGAAGACTGGGAGGAACATTTTTCCTGAAGAAAGATCCACAGCATGTCTTTATCCTGTCTTCCTTCTCTCACCCCAACCAATCACAGCAGATGGCCCCGCCCCTCCCTGAGCTTGGTGCTGCCGGAGGTTTCTTCCTGTTAAAAGGGAGTTTTTCCTTCCCACTGTCGCCAAAGTGCTTGCCCATAGGGGGTCATCTGATTGTTGGGTTTTTCTCTGTATGTATTATTGTAGAGTCTACCTTACAATATAAAGCACCTTTAGGCGACTGTTGTTGTGATTTGGTGCTATATGAATAAAACTGAATTGCATTGAAAGATCGGGAAAAAATAAAAAAATAAATAAAGACTTTGGCCTAGTCAAAGTTCTGACCTGAACCTGATTGAGATGCTGCAGCATGACTTTTAAAATGCAGCTCATGCTTGAAAACCCTCCAGTGTGCCTGAGTTACAACAATTCTGCAAAGATGAGTGGGCCAAAATTCCTTCACAGACTCATTTATTTATTTATTTATCGTTATAGCAAATGCTTGATTGCAGTTGTTGCTGCTAAAGGTGGACCAACAAGTTATTGGATTTAGGGGGCAATCACGTTTTCACACAGGGGCATATAGGTATAGATTGTTTCCCCCTTAATAACAAACACCTTCAATTAGAAACTGCATTTTATGTTTACAGGTGTTATTGTTGTCTTATATTGAATTTTCTTTGGATGATCTGGAACATTTCAGTGTGACAAACATACAAAAAAAGAAGAAAACAGGAAAGGGGCAAACCACTTTTTTACACCACTGTAGGTAGGTGGGCCTGCACTGAATGGACATGGCCTCTAAGTCCTGTGAGGAGTGACTGTCTATAATTCTGCTGTTATGGCACCAGTCCTGGAGTCCATAAACACAGAGGTCCCACCCCTTCTCTTACTGGAATATTTGTTGCGGTCCTGGCGGTATCAGGATTTGCAGATGAAGCCAGAATTCTGTTGCAATCAGTAGACAACACTCCCGGACAAGATGGTTATAGTAAATCTCTAATTGTAGCTCCTGCGTTTTATTTGTGAGGATCCTGATGTTGGTGAGAAAGAATGATGGGAGCAGGGATTCATGTTGTTGTTTCGCAGCTGGATGCGGAAGCCAGCTCTGCAGCCCTACGTTTGTTTCCTCTCCCTGCACTGTCTGTGTCATTTACTGCTCCGAACAACAATACTCTGTGATGTTTGTTTGTGTTGAAGTCTAAAAACAAAAGAAGCCTGAGATTGTCCTGTGTGCAGAAATAAAAGTTATTTAACATATATTTTTATTTTCATTAAGTGGTAGCTTTTGTGAGAGAATTCTGACCAGAGTGAGACGCTGACACACAGAATGAAAGCAGACCTTTTTCTGTCCTGCTACTATTGCTAATTATTGAATCCAGCAAACGCTCATCTCTTTTATCCATATGTTCAACTTTGGCATCTTTTCAGTGTTACATGAATACTTTTACACGGTGAGTTTCTGTTGAGTCCTCATGACTTTAACATCCCTCTAACTATCACTGCAGTCTACTATTACAGAGAACAAAACAGCCTCCTGGAGCCAGAGGATTATCTCAGGAAATAACTGGGCAACTCAAGCTTGGACCAGAACCAAATGTCAGAACTTATTTTCTGTAGCACTTGACATTTATTTAACACACCATTACTGCATTATTAGCATTCCTGTAAAAGCCAATTCTGCCAAAATTATCTGATAAAGATACCTGCATACAATAAATATTAAGGCTAAACTCTCGTAATTATTTAAGATCTTCCTGTTCAGCCTCACTTAGTAGTTTACCTGCTGATCACAAAATTATAAAAAAGAATTATATAAATATCTAAAAACAAGCAAAACACTATTGGCCACAAACAAACTCATATCATCCTCTAAATAAAGAAACAGCTAAGAAATAAAGTCACTGATATCTATCTGTCTAAAAATATTCCAAAGGCTTCGGGACTCAAACAAACGATGGTGAGAGCCCGTACTCACAAATAGACAAAATATAATCCACTTTATTGGCCAAGCATGTGTACACATACAAGGAAGTGGGCTGTTTTTTCTTTGCTATCAGCGTAAGTATTTAATGTACGTAATCAAGTTAAGTGATGGTTGCTATCTTTTGTCATTCTTTTTTTTTAAATCTGAAAACCTCGATTTTAAAATGATTCCACAAAACTAGAACACAAAATATGCATGATGTAATAAAATGCAATGCAGCAGCCCTACACCATGTAACAACCACATCAAATGTTCTGTGTGTTGGATTTTTTTAGTTGTTGGTGTATTTCAAGCTAGTTCTACACTCTGTTTTAAACAGAGTTGTACTGGATAAATATTTTTAATATTGTGTTCATGTTAAGTTTAAGTCCATTCATTATTTAGATTAATTAATTAAATAATTAATATAAGTACAGTATTTAATGCAGGACTTGTGTATTGGATTGTAGTTTAAATAAAACATGTTACAATTATTTGACACAATATTCAAGAAAAAGAAAAAAATTAAAAAGTATTTTGCTTTGCTTAAATTTCTAACTTATGTATGTTTACTTATTTACAATATTGCAGCAAAAATATATAGTAGTTCAATGACATGCTACAAACTTTGACCCCAGTAAACGCACAAACACTCTTCTCTGCATAATGAAGCTGTAGTGATTTTGTTACAGTTTTCTGTCTACATCGACTCTCTCTTGCTGAAACTGAGATCAAAGCTACGAGATTTTTTTTATTTTTTTTACATACACTGTTCAGCGTATATGCAGCCTGTAGACACAGAGCTGGTTGGAAACAGTGTTTCTCGTAACTGCAAATCATTCATAGTATCAGCTGTATGAGATCTACACTGATGGCAGCAATAATGATCACTTTCCAAATCATGCTCAGCTCCAAAATTTGGCAAAGAATACAGAAATGCAGTAACAGGTTTGGTGATGTACAAGCAGATGGGTTTCTCTGGACTTTTAATATTTTTGGTATTATATATATATATATATATATATATATATATATATATATATATATATATATATATATATATGTATGTATGTATGTATTGCAGTGTATGCGTCATAGTCCTCTGTAGGGCAGCTAACTTCACCTACAAACGGCATAATTTGTACGTTTGTAGGTGAAGTTTTTTTTTCTTGCAGTGCTAAATTTTAAACATGGGTAGGCTTTGAAACTCTGGCAATTTAAAGATTATCCAGCGGTTCCTAGATTTCATTTCTCTATATAAAGTGTCCATCTCTATATAGTTTTTAATGTCTATTCATATAGTTTGAATGTTAACATTGTGACTGTAACGATATGAGCATGGTAGCGTGCTCAGCTTCCATCTTCTAAACTGAATTATTATTATTATTATTTAAGGCAACAGCACCGTAATTGAGTGTCTAAGCCTCCTTGTGATGCTCATGCTCACCCCTCCATCACCTGTTACAGTTCAGTTGTGGCACACAATGACAGCTACCCCCTCCCTCCATGCAGCCCCATTTATATCTAAGCGCGTCCGCACACACACACACACACACACACACACACACACACACACACACACACACACACACACACACACACTGAGAGTGACTCGCGCACACGCGGACGCCGGCACACCGGTAGAGACGTCAGGATTGGACGCAGCAGGGGATCCCCAGCATTCCATTTCTGCCTCGCTTGGCGTATCATCATCTTTTACCGGGAGGAGATGAGCTTGCGCCGGTTCACACTCGCGGAGGGACGCAGAGGTAGCAGCTGCAGAGGACAGTCTTGTTTCTCCGTTTCACTGGAGCTTGCTCTTCCACTCTCTTTCTCTCTTGTAATAGCTTCCCCATTCTGTGCAACAAACTGTCTGTATTGTAGCTGTCGCGTGCACTGGCCGCCGGGTCAGCGCGAGGAAACAGCGGGGAGCAGAGGGGGAAAGGTGTTTCACCTGCTAGTTGATGTTTTGAAAAGAAAAGGACGTTCGGAATAAAACAGCCACCTCAGATGAACTCTTTGTTAGTTTAGAACAGAAGAGCCCGTCGCTCCATCACTTGGTTTTTTCGCATAGATCTTCTGACATTCAGGCGCGCCTTGCTGCTGGTTTAGACACAGCACCATCGTGCCTCTGTGGGTCGCACGGCGTTTCCTTTTATTACTTAAAATCACAAACAGCGTGGAAAAAGGCGAGATAGTTCCCCGGCCCCCGCAGATTCAACAAAGTAGTGAAATGGTTGGTGCGATGCCTGTAGTTTTCTTAATGATGATTTCCTTTAAATGCTGGGTTCAGCATTAGGATAGAAGAGACGATAGAAAGTGGAAGTTTTTGCCCTTTTTTCCTCAAGTCCAACAAAGCGGCTGCTGCTGTTGTCATAATCTAGAAGAGGAGGACCCCCCAACCCCCCATAGGACGAACAGGTAGGACAGCCCCGATCCCATACCCACTGCCTAGCATGCACATATGTAAAATCCTTTTCTTACATCTGTGGCGTGGATCCCATTCTCATCTCAGTTGCTCGTGTGAAACACTGTTTCACTTTTTTTCGTCAGTGCGGCACAAAGAACAACAATCAAACCCCACGTGCCTAATACAGTTGGAACTTTTCTAATTGGCTGGCTTGGTTTCCCCTCCGTCGTGTACAGTGAGCTGAGCGGAGCCGCTCTAAAAGTTGGTTGAACCGCTTTTCGCCCTGCGCTTTTAAACCAGTTATACGCCGAATGGTGTCAGATGTAGCGGAGAAAAAACTACATTTAAATCATTTCTTTATTAACTGCGCCAGTGACGGTCCTTTCTAATAAATGCAGTGTTGTGAATGAACAGCATACCGTGCTTACTTGAGGACTGAAGTATTGTATACTAAAATAAAAGACAAATAATAGCAGTTAAATGTTTACTGTATCTTTGCTATTTTTATGATATGTTGGGGCACATTTGGGGTTGAAAATAGCTTAGTTTGGTTGAACAAAATAAAATTTAAAAAACGCAAACTCCAAATAATTCATGAAGAAAAACACATCAATCTGAGTAACACGGGACTGAGAAGTCTTTGTGTCGGGTTTTCACAGGCATCTCCTTCAGTCTTAAACCAAACTCCAGCTGGATTCAGTGCGTTTCCACGAGTGATATTAATATTATATTATTCTTTATTATACATCTTAGAGTTCAAGCAATAGTATACAGTTTGCTGCTTGTAATTAGAACAATTTCCTGTGAATTAAATGTCATTATAATTAAAAGATCCCTGTTCTTAAATCTTCCTGCAGGCACTATGAAAAAACGCTGCGTTATGATGTGTTTTTCCTCATTGTGCTGACTACAAATACAATCCACTCCCTGCTTTTGTTATTTGGTACATTTTGAGGAATAGATGCAGAGAGGGGAGGTGTATGCAAAAGCTTGAATGCCTGAGCCAAGCGCTGCCACCAGCGGGATTCTCACTGTAGTGAAGGTTAAAGTGGCAACAAAGACAACAAAGATGAGGGTTTTCCTCCTGCATCATACCTTCCCTGTCTCTTCTCTATCTATCTATCTATCTATCTATCTATCTATCTATCTATCTATCTATCTATCTATCTATTATCTATCTATATATATATATATATATATATATATATATATATTATATATATATATATATACACCTATATATGTGTGTGTATTTGTGTGTGTGTATTTGTGTGTGTGTAAAGTTTGTTGGTTTTTTGGGGGGTTTTTTTTTAGAAAAAGACATCTTTTCTTTTTTTCCATGACCTCGTATTCCTGTGAAGTGGAATTCTGTATTCCTGATTTCTCTTCTTAAAATAGTGAGCATGTGTCCTCGGTATATTTCATGGAAAACTTTTCCATGAAACTAAACTTAATCTTTGTTGCAGCAAAATGCAGCGTTCCAGCTCAGAACTGCAAGTTTTTCTGCCTGACCTTATGTTCTATGAATGCAGAGGGTGCATTAAGAATAATTAAGTTCAGTTTAATTAAATTATTATTTCCAAATGTCCTCGTGTGCCCTTCAGTACAGCACAATAAACAACAATCAAAGCCCACGAGCCCCACTTAAAACATTACATTTAGTTTCCTTATTTTAAAAATACAAAACCTTATTATTCTTATTTATTGTAATGCATGTGTATGCAATGCAATTAGTTATAACAAACAGATTAAAGAGCAAGGTAAAACAGCTCTAGAGTATTGCAGCAATTCCCTACATACGAAATACAGTAAGTATTAACTTCATGCAACAAGAAGTGTTCGTTCAGTTTTTTTTTTCATTGTTATTTTTGTTCAGAGTTCCACAGAAATTCGGGATGACTTTGATCAGCAGCTGTTCCAAGGAATTTCAGCTTCTGTGAAATTTTTGATTTTATAGGCTTTATCTGTCCATCTGGTTCGGTTTATTTTCTTAATATATTCAAAGTTGCACAGCTGTAAAATTAGATACATCTTGGCCAGTTTTTCTTTTGCAGTTTCTCCATTCTTGCACAGCTTACTTAAAAGGTTTGAGGACTTGGCTAGAGGAAGCTGTTCTATCTTTAGGAGGAGGTAAAAATAAAAATAAAAACAAGCTGTTGCTTCAAAGTAGATTTAAAATCCAAATGTGTCTCTTTTACAGAATCTAGGCTTTACTTGAGGTTCCTGTGTGTTTATTTCATTTTGAATTCCCAACCCAGACAAAGCGCTTCATGTTGGGCCTGCACTTATTTAAAATGAATGTACGCTCCAATCAAATAATGTCTTTATTTTCTCTCACTCTCTTTTCTTTTACCTTTTTACTACATATTTATAGTTGCTGCTTATGTTTCTTCTGGATGATCAACGTGTGCAAAACCAGTAAAACCTTTACGTAGGTGGAAACAGAAATTAACATAAAAAGCCAGCAGACAAAATGATGGAATCCCACGTTCCTTATATTACAAGTCGTTGCAGAGGGTAAGAACTCTGCATCTGATATCTTTGTAATTTGGCTCTGTTGCTTGTTAATCCATAATCTTACATCATTTCACCCACTGCAAGTTATATATGGATGAATGCATCACTTCCCAAATGACTTTATGGTATTCCAGCAGCAGAAACAAATGTTGTAGGTCAGGTGTGGAGAGTTTCGTGTCACCATGAGGTACTCCAGTCATGGATGTGGGAAACATAAAGAAATCTGCAGATAGCAGAAACATTTTTAAGATTAGTGTCTGAACATTTTAATTTATAGTTATTGTCATACGTGATACAAGTTGACTGCATTTACCTTAGTTTAGAGTTTAGCTTGCATATGTTGCCATACACATACTCACCAGTGTGTGTTCTGCATGTTCATGTATTTACATCTATGAATACACAACCAGTAAACATACAATAGTTAGTGTAGCAATAGCCTGCTCACCTGCACACACACACACACACACACACACACACACACACACACACACACACACACACACACACACACACACACGCAATAATATTTTATTTTTTGCCAGAAAGTGTGTGTGTGTGATGTGCCTGTGTATGCTTGACTACTGACATTGACACAGTATGCATCTGGTGTTCTGTGTTCTGAGTGCATATGTACCTTGTGGGATTGTGTGTGTGTGTGTGTGTATTTTTGATCATTGCTACGAGAGCCCTGAATCTGAAGATTTATCTGTAGTACGTGTGTGTGTGTGTGTGTGTGTGTGTGTGTGTGTGCACAAATTATCCAAGGAATGCTCAGACTGAAGATCCAGCTGATGAAAGCTACGTGGAACTTTGTAAATGTTCCCTTTGTCAAACTGCAGAACCAGTGTGCGCTTGTGTGGACCTAAAACTGAAATATTAATTGTAATGTATAATAAATATAATGGAAATAAAATGTTTTAGCTTGGATTTGATCAGGAATGCCACATAATAAATTTATATACTATTTGTTTCTAAGCTGTATCCTCAAGCTAGACCCATACTACTAGTTTTAGTCTTTGAACCCATAGATGGGCTGTCATGTCTTTACTGCAGTCGTGGTCTTGTGTTTATACACAAACACTAAGATAAGTGATCACAACTGAACACAGGTGAGAGGAAGAAATGTAAACATTTATGACAAATACCATCAGTTAGCCAAAAGCTGTGTGGTGAAAGTGAGTTTTAAAAGCTTTCTGACAGAGGCTTACAACCAACGACGTTGCAGGTAGCACAGTTAAGTCTTACAGAGTAGAGCTGCTGAATTTTACTGTTTAATGTTGAGGTCATACATGTTGTATGTGCGGCTTGCTTTCATCACATCACATCACAGAGGGTTTAATTATAATAATATTACACTAATGTAACTTGACAGTAATTATATAATATAGTTATGGTCATAATGTTACAATCAACATTTCATATATTAAATTTCAAAAACCCAAATAGTCTAGATTAAGAAGGCCGTTGAATCAATTTAATAAAAACAACATAGTTACATACAGATTGCAGTTAGAGTTCTGTTAACTGATCAAGCTTCATAAGCTTTATGTGAAGTCCACCTTTCGACGTGTCACTCAAGGCAGACGAGTGTAGTCTCTTTAGTCCAGCTGATCTTGTTTTCTTCTTTTTGTAGGATTGATGTTACAGTAACATCAGAATATTACTAAACATGTAGATGACGAACTTTTCAAACCTGCGTTTTTTCTTTTGGTCATTTACGCCTCTCTTGAAGCTTCGTATTGGTGGCACTAATGCAGTAAATGAAGATACTTCATCATTTTTGTAGACTGTGGTTAGATGTAATGTATAATATATAACAGCTATATTATTCATTTTCTAACTCAACTGTCTGGATTTATTAACTTGAGCTAACACCAGGTATATCTTAAAAAAGATCCATGTTTAATAACTTAGAGACTTAGAGCTTTTTATTGTCATTGTGCAGTTTCTTGCACAGTGAAATTGGGTAGCTGGACCACAAAGGTGCAAAAGTAAGAAGAGAAAACAATATACAACAGGGGAAAAAAATAAAATAAAATAAAAAGCAATATATATGTATACATATATGTGAGTGAAACTATATACACGGTGTATGCGTGATAACGTCGTCCGCCTTATGGAAATAAAAATGAAATATCAGAAAAGTAGGCCAGAAAAGTTGCGTTCCGTCAGGACAAGCAAGGCGAGCAGTGCTTGCCTCGTCAGATCTGAAAATATACATGTCCCAAAGTAAAGCAATCTATCCTTTGATCTCAGACATCGCTGTCATATGTGGATCCAGGCCTTACATTACTGCCATCTTGTGACCGCAGTTGGGTAATGTCGCTGTGATTATTTCAATTTCATGGCATAGTGTACTCCTCTGTGCCTGTGAGGGTGTGTCCGTCTTCTGTTAACAGCGATGGAGCTGGGCGAGCTGAGAGGCCAGCAGCCTTTTCCTGGTGGTTTGTGCATACACATTGTGACTGTAAACTGATGAGAGACCAGCGAG